GATGCTCTACCCTGTCTTGCCACAGCCACAAAACAATGAAGCCAAGTGAACAGGGACCACAAGCTCTGAAACAGAACCCAGACACCTTTCCTCCTCTAAAGTGTGTTTTTTCAGGCACTCTTGTCACAACTAAGAGACATGATCAACACGCTGTTCCATGCATCCTTCGACTTAGTGAAATAGGTAACATTGAAGTGTGCTGGGGGAAGAGATCAATGTTCTTGTTCAAGATGAATTTTCACGGCATTCTTCGGGTACCTTACACTCTCCCCAGGGTTGTGAAAAAGCCAAAGGATGTGAGATAGAATTTCTTTCATTCCCTTATCTCAAACCACTCAATAGCAACAGATACTTGATGAACGTCAAGCCTGGTGCCAGGTGCTAGAAGAAATCAACAATTTTGTTCAAATTTATGAAAAAAGAAGCTTGCCAACTGTACAACCCAAATTAGTAGTATTCTCAAACTGCCTGTGACATTCCTGGCAAAAGGGTCCCAGATGCTAGTGTCTCCATGGTTACCTGGGGGTGGGAGAGTTGTTGTGCTATGGGGCGTGGTAGCCAGCGAAGAGGAGACAGGCACCCATGTGCTCTAGGCCAGTAAAGCACCCGGCTTGCAAGGCCTTCCAGCCATGCAGGAGCTTTATCCTTTTCCAAACTCCCCTTCTTGCCTTGAACAAAGGGGAAGCCGATTAGTCAGGCTCTCTCTAGGCAGAACTGCTCCAAGCTGCAGCTCACAAGTGCAGAGTGAGAAGCCTGTTCTCAATCCCTTGTCTATAGAGGTCATTGTGAGCACACAAGAAAAACTCCATCTAGCCATGATCCTCTTGTTTCAAAATACACTTGGCTTGCGGAGTGCTTACTTCTGGAAGTTTGCAGAAGATGTGCCTGACCACAACTAGGAAAGGCCTCCTGCAGCGTGTCCTGCCTTGGATGCTTTCCTCTTCCTGCATAAGCTCTTCAGCTTAGCTTTCAGGCACATCACTTAGAGACCAACACATTCTAGAGATAAGTTTAAAAGGAGAGGTACCTCTCCAGCAGGGGCAGGAACTGGCCATCTCTGGGGAAAGATGAGGAGGTGGCAGGGGTGGGAGAAAGGCAGAAGGGTCACTTTTGATGTTAGCTTTCTAGAAAGCTGGCTAGCTTTCTGCTCAGTTTTAAGTGCCCCAGAAAAGTCTCAGTAGAACTGTTCAGGTGGGACACTTCCAGATGGGAGACCTTGGGGACTGCTGGCCATAGCTCCTTGAGATACAGACATGCTATAACCAATGTGATTGGACTGAAAGGCACCTAGGAGACAAGAGAAGTAATTTCTGTGTGTGTCTTTGATGGCATTTCCAGGTGGGATTAGCTTAGAGGGGAAGACAACTCCCCACTGCTTGTGGTGCCATCCTATAAGCTTCAGACCAAGATGGATTTAAAAAAAAGAAGAACGTTGTGCCCCTAGCTCAAGCTTTGCCTCTGCTTTCTGGCCTTCATGCCATGAGCTCTTGTGCTTTGCCAAGCCATCTCTACCACAAGGGTCTGAGACTGAGTCCCTAGGTGATTTGGGATTGAGGTAAAGGGAGGGGTGTGGTTTCAGTCCTAGGTTTCCACGATCTGGATTTAAAAACCACATTTCTTTTTTTCCAGTTCAAGATGTCCTTGACTGTTGCCATCCAGGAGTTATAGACCATAAGTCACATGGAGGTTCAGTCAGAATGACATGGGGTTCCTATGGTGGTTCTAGAGACCAAAGGGTAGACAGGTACTCCATGCAACTCTGTAAGTGTTGTATATGAGTACATCTGTGCATGTGCATATGTATGGGTGTGCATGTGTGCATACATGCATATGAAAATTCAAATATAATTCCATGTGTGTGTGCATGTCTGTATAAGCATGTGTTTGCATGCATGTGTATATGTGAATTGAAATACAATTTTGTGAGTGTATGTCTGTAGGAGCATGTGTGTATATGTGTGTTTGCATGCATGTATATATGTGTATGTGCTCTTATGTATAAACATGTATGTGTATATGCACATGTGCACTTGCATGAGTGTGTGTGTGTGTGTGTGTGAGAGAGAGAGAGAGAGAGAGAGAGACAACTTTGTGACTGCAGTGAGTGTACTATCTTTGGGAGGAAGGGTTTGCTGGGCATCTGGAGACACCTTCTTCTGAGGTCATATTTAGGGATGGGTCTTTCCACAAAACTCCCAAGAATCTCTCTCTTTGCATGTTCCTTGGTGGACAGTCCACAGGAGTCTTTTGCCCTTGTATATGTGCAAGCAGGTGACAGTTGTCGTCAAATAAAATGGAGGAAGTCTTCTATTCACTTCTTTCAAGATTATTCTCCACAGGAGGCAGAAAGCAAAGGTCAGAAAAGCAAGAATGGCCCTGTGGAGAGCAAATCTTCTCCAGAGCTTTCTCTGGGCTGAGTGGGGATGAGGCTGAGGGACAGGCAAAGTAGAGGAGCCACAGGAACAAAGACCTTGACAAAAGTCAACATAGAAAATAAATTTCCTTTCCTCTGGATCTGTCCAGAGGCAGAGGAACTTACTTTCAGTGGCTACGCTCTCTGTGAGGCCCAGCGAGTGCCTGTGTGGGGAGGAACAGTGATGTTCCTATACTGTCTGCTGTCAAATGTTCCCGCTACTGTGCCTCTTTTCCTCATTTCGCAGGAGATAAAAAAGGACCACTAGGCCAAAGCCAGTCCCCCCAGAGCAGAGGGAATTCCGGGTGTCATGGTTTCCAGAAGGGAAGGCAATCTCCCTGTGGGGTGTAATTACATCCCTGCTTTTCGCAGAAGAATAGTTTATGGCTTAAATGCTATTAATTGTAAGCCATTCTGTTTCACGGGAAGTTGTTCATTGATAACTACCCAATTAGAGTTATTTTGCAATTAGTCTATTCACAGTAAATTTACTGCAAAGGGGAGGCCACGATGCAGGAAATTAAAGCATCGTGGGTCTGGTGAGTCATGTGTCTTAAATGCCAACTCCATTAACCAGTTTGGAGGTCCTGGGAGGGCATGCCACGTTCGCCAAGGCAGAGACAGCCAACCCTGCAGGCAGCCCCAATGAGCTCAGAAGCTAGCAGACAGCTCAGTATGACCCAGGAGAAGCACTGGAAACTCTGCTATGTGGTGGTGAATGATTGTGGATAAGCTGTAAGGCAAATATCTGTGTAATGTGCATCACTGACCAGGTGCATTTGCTTAACTGTGTAGTCTTTAAACCCTCTGAGATGAATAGATACAACACCAAAGCACAGAGAGGGCAGGCAACTTGTCACAAATCTCACAGCTTGTGCAGAGGAAGTCCAAAATGCAAATGCAGGCACTCTTCCCTGGCACCTATGCTCACATCATTGCCGCAGACTCCCTGTTTCCTCAGGCTGACAACCTCCCTTCTCTCTCAGACTATACTGAGGAGAAGTGGGCGTACCTCTCAGGCAGCTAAAGTTCTTTGGGGTTTGTATAACTGAAGCTGAAGTGAAAATCAGTTTGCCTCCTGAAGGCCAACCAACCTTTGGAAGGCCTCAGACTCATCCTGAATTCTGATACTGGCTTTGCTGTCTGTTAGCTTCACACCTCCACCCAAATCCTAAACCTGTCTGAGCCTAGCTTTCCTCAGAAAAGGATTCATGGTGCTAGAACTGCACTGTATAATTGACTATAGATGACCCCTAGCATAGTGATGAATGATGTACAGCTTTTCAACTTGATAATGTTGGGAACAAAAACTCATCCGGACACCATCCTGCTTCCTGCTTTCACTGCAGCACTTAATAACTTACAGAGTGCAGTCAACACATTGTCTTAATGTAAGCTTTGCTTTTGGTGCCTTTGACCAACTGTAGGCTCAGAAACTTTCTGAGCACATTTAAGGTGGACCAGACTGAACTACGGCATTCCATAGGACAGATGTATTGCATGTATTTTTGATTTCATGGAATTTCTATGTTAAATTAAATGGTCAGGATGGAAGCCTCTTAGAAGCTGAAAAGCAGTCTGAATCCACTGGAACCTAAGCAAGTGCACTGATGTTTGTGTATTTGCTCTAAGGTCTGTGATAAAGATACATAGCCCAATGACTATACAGATTTGCTACTTGGCCTCATGGAACAAGCATGCAAGCTCTAAGTGTGACAGGAGCCATATTTTCTTGGTTCAGACTTCCAAAATGCCCCTGCCTGGCACTGGCTAAGAAGAGCTCTTGGAAACATTGCATTCTACTTAATTATTGCTGCACACAAAGTGCCAAGTGCAATCAAGAACACAGGCAGGAACCAGCTGGACCACACAGAGGCTTGGGAAAGGACGAACTTTCTTTTTAAATCTGTCTATTGAACAGGAAGTGTTGCATAGATACACATTTGGTGCTACAAGCTCAAAAAGTCATGCTGAACTTGACTAAGAGGGAACGTGTGAAGGCCATGTTAAGCCTTCCTTTCCCATCTTTCCTTGGGACATTTGGAGTCTAATAAACTGTATGATACATAGAGCCATGAAGAGGTATTCTTTAGGATCCATGGGGATTTGGGTACCACATCCTACAATACGCATATCCAACAGTGTCCTATTTCTTATACGAAATGGTATGGTGTTTGTTTATATCCTGCACATCCTCCTCTATGCTTCAAATAATTTCTGGATGACTTATAGTTCCTTATGCAATGTCAGGGCTGTACAATATTGCATAAGTAAAAAGCCAAGGTCTGACAGAGTCTAGTTTTTTTTTATTTCTGTAGCCTGTGAATTCCAGATTGCTATAAACATAGCACAATACATTTGTAGACACTGAGATCATATCACAATGTCAAAGTTGGACATCTATGCTAAAGGGAACAGGTAAATATACTAACACATGTCATGTGATCTTGTAAAACTTGCCTTATAGCAGACAGCAGGAGTTCAGAGTTCCCTGACAAATGGTCAGGGTTTCAGGTACAGTGTGGCTATATTCAGAGGGCCTGAGAAGGCAGAAGGATGGGGCCAGAGACAGGAGAAAGGGACTTACCTTCTAGGGGACAGAATCGAGTCACCTTCTCTGGCATCAGCAGCCCCAGCTTGTGGCGACAGTAGGTTTCTGCAATCTCCTGGCGGCAGTGCTTGGACTTAGCACGGGTCAGTGCTGAGATGGCCTCCTTGCCAGAGATATCACACTTGGGGGCCTGGTCAGACTTGGTTTCGGGGGACCCACCACCACCACTCTTCCTGGCATGGTTGTGTCTTGAGAGATCCTTCCCTTGGCTACCTTTGCCTGTGGCTTTTTCCCGAGGAGGCAGGACCTCCTTGGGGCCTTTCCCCAGGACTGACTGCCCCTGTCCTTTGTCCTGGGCATCCAGCTTTCTCTGCAAACGCTCTTTCTGTCTGCTGGGGGTCTTCTTTGCCAACTCTGGCTGGTGCTTCTGCTTCTGGGTCCTGGGTGCAAAGTTGCTGTTGTCCACATTCTCAAAGTCCTTGGGGACTGAGTTCTCATTATTGCTGTCGGTCCGAACTTTCTCTTTGGGCCGGTGAGAGAAGTAGCCATCCTGGAGAATTAGAGAAACAGAAAATTGTCACTGAGGCATGCTGGTAAGCAGGCTAGCCTGAGAGGGTGACAGGTGGAGAAGCCTGAGCCAAGATTGCTATTCTTCTCTCATTGACTCAGACTGTGGAAACACATTTCTTCTTGAACGTTAGTTTCCCACTCTGCTCCCACAAGACAGCCTCTCCATGCTCACAGTGACCAGGACAGTGACTGTGAATCTCAAAGATCCCCTCCTCCACTCTACTAACTGGGGAAAATTACCCTCTGGGCTTCTGTTCAAATGGCAGCAAGAGGTGCTATAATGGTATACAGTAGAGCTGGAATCTTCAGGATCAAAGCATAAAGGAGACGATATGAACCGATGATGTATATATCGTATATATTTTGTATGTTGTATATACTTTTTATACATGCATATACTGCCTTAAGGACAAGCAAATCTATCTGTGCCTATAAGAGAAGGTAGGCTTGGACCACTTTCAAGTTCATAAACAAGACTGCATGCCTTTTTATCTTTTAATTTAGTTCAATTTAACTTGATTTTTATCCACAGTGCAGTCAGTGCCAAACGAACCTGGCAATGAGTCTCAAGATGCAAACCTGTGACCTTTACTTCCCTAGCTGCACTGGGCTCAAGTCCATGGCCTTATCCATCCTGGGAAAGTGCTCTGCCATGGAGTTATATTCCACAGCCCTTTTAAATTTTTGTTTTATTATATTTTTTATTCTGAGACCAAGTCTCACCAGGTGAGCCAGGCTGGCTTTGAATTTTCTCTGCGGTCAGTTCCTCCAGCTAATTGTTAATATCAGGTGCTGGCACTGCCATCAGGCCAATGTGGCTAATGACTAATTCAACCATCTTCTCAAGAGATGAGGTTACCATGGCACCAGGGACTCAGCATGACCCCATCCACCGTCCCCCACCTCAGATGTTACTCAGCTGCTATGGGATGTTAAAGTGTTCCAGTAAGAGAGAAGGAGAGTGTTTGCCTTCTGGAATGAATTATCCACAGGCACTTGACAGCTTCTAGAGAGTCTGTGTGAGGCAGCATGGTGAAGGAGGATCAGGCATTTCCAGAGGCCTCAGAACTCCATCCCCCAGAGTCTGTGCTGGCTTCTGTAGTGATCACAGTTCTGCCTCACCGTCTTCCCTGTATTTTCTCCCTCAAAAATTTTATTTTATTGTTGTGGGACTAAGATTTCAAAAACATGGAAAAAATGATGAGATCTACCTAATCAGCCCCTTCCCCATTTAAAGATAGAACCTCACTATGAAGCCCTGGCTGGCCTGGAATGTGCTATGTATGTATGTTTTATGTGCACATGAGTGCAGTGCCTTGGAGGCCAGAGGAGGTGATCAGATCCCCTGGAGCTGGAGCTACAGTGGTTATGGTCCTTCTAGTATGGGTGCTGAGAAGAGTCATTTACAAGAGCAGTGAACTCTCTCTCCTAGCTGCTGAGCCATCTCTCTGGGCTCTCAGCTTTCACCCATGATGCTACACATTACAAGATTCTTTCCTTAGGAAAGTTTGAATAATATCACTGTATATGTATGCCATGTCTACTTTGTAAATCTGTCTATAAGTATATTAAGAGGCATATAGGCCTCACATTCTCCCTGCAGAAGTATTCACATCCTCCATCTCCACCCCCACCCCCAAACAGCAACAAAACAAAACAAAACAAAACAAAACAAAACAAAACAAAACAAAAGATAATCTAGGCGATGCATGCCTGGAATTCCAGGACTTGGGTAGAGACAGGAGGGTCACTGAAAATTCAGGTTTACCGAGGGTACATTGTGAGTTCTGGACAAGTCTGGGCTACATCCTGAGACCCTCACTCAAGAATGACAAAACCCAGCCCAAACAAACACCTGAGGGTGATGCCCCATGCCTGTAATCCCAGAGCTGTTCAGGAAAAAGCAGGAGGATTGCTGATGCAATATCAGGCCAGCCTTGTCTATAGAACAAGTCCTGGACCAGCTTGGACTACAGTATAAGACCCTGACTGGAAACCACAAAATACAGACAAAAATCCCAGCACTGAGAATGTGGAGTGAACACAAAGTCTCACTCCCCAGCAAGATGCTATTTGCAATTGGTTCCTGCAGAGAAAGGGTAAGTCAGTTTTCTCCAATTCAGTGTCAACCGCAACCCAGAGAAGACCCTACGCCAGTGGTTCTCAACCTGTAGTTGAGGTTTGCGATAACTCTGACGAACCTCTATCTCCAAAAATATTTATATTATAGTTAATAACAGTAGCAAAATTTCAGTTATGAAGTAGCAAGAAAAATAAGTTGTGGTTGGGGTCACAACAACATGGGTAATTGTATTAAAGGGTCAAAGTGTTAGGGAGGTTGAGAACCAATGCTGTGCTCAGGAATAGCTGACCAATGTAAACATACTCCATGTATTTTGCTTGTTTGTTTGGTTTGGTTTTTGTTTTTTTGGTTTTTTTTTGTGTGTATGTGTGCGCACTTTTTGTTTCATTTTGTCATTTTTTGATTTGATTTTTGTTTTTCTTATGAAAGACAGAGAGAGAGAACATGAAGTTGTGTGAATAGGGAAGTAGGCGCTTTAAGGAGTTGGGAGGAGAAAGAATATGATAAAAACATTTAATAATAATAATGATAAAGACTGGGAACAATGGGCCATGCCTGTAGTCTCAGCACTGAAGTGGCAGAGGCAGGGGGAGTGCTACAGGTTAGACCAGCCATTCTGGCCACCACAACTAGGTAAGATAAGCTTGGATTTCACAAAGAGACTGTCTCAACAAGCAAACACATCCTCGGTAACTTCCCATCACATCCCTTGAAGATGTTCACCTAGTGCAGGGCCCCAGAGCAGGCCCCTCACACTGTGTCCCTAAAGCCTGGGGACACAGGGAAGCAGGAAGAGTAGATCTAACCAAGAAAAGACTAGACACAAAGAGGCTAAGCAGCTGAGATAACAATGCAAAGTGACTCCGAGTCATTGTGCCTCAGTCCTCATCAGAACACAGACATGGTGATGTTTACCTTGTGGGTATTTTGGTGAGGGTGAATATGCTGGAAAATTATGGAAGATTCTTCCCACTCAATCAAGGTGGGAGGAAGAATAAGAAACAGACACCAACTATGTAACAAGTTGAGTAATTAATTCAATGCCTGGGGGGATGGAGAGATGGCTCAGCAGATTATAGGGCTGTTGAGAAATCATGAGGACTGATGTTCAGATCCCAACATCCACATAACAATTCAGGCATTCAGCAAAATCTGTAACCCCAGGTCCTACAGGGGGGAGGCAGGAGTACCTTAGGGCTGCTGACTTCCTGCCTAGCCAAGAAAGAATGAGTATCTGGTTCAGGGAGAGACTCTGCCTCAAAGGAATAGGGAAAGAGTGATAGAGGACACTCAACATCTTCTCCTAGACACCCTGGGAATGTAGAAGTATGTATACCCACCTCCACATCTTTACACGTGCACACACACACACACACACACACACACACACACACACACACACACACTGTTTGTCTTAATTTGCTGCTGCCTGTCTCTACTGATCTACACATTGGTTACGACATCTCCACTTTGAAAGGCCATGCCCCTTTTATTCTTAGACAGTCCAACACTCTCACCTTGGATTATTTATGCAAATACAACCCTTTGACTTGTTTTTATTTTAATGTACTTATTATAATGATTGTTCATTCAAACATTTGCACGCATCTCAGAACTTCTAATTGTTCCTGCCTTGCCTTCCCTCAAAGCTGTCGCTAGAATACATTTTTATTCCAGAAGAATAATTAAGTGTACTAATGTCCTCCACCCCCATTCAACCTTGGGCTTGTTTAGAGCTGATTTTGATCCGGTAGAAAGATGCAGCTGCCAGATTCCCTCCCTCCCGAACTCCCATGTCTTTTTCTACCTTTCTTTTGGTCTCTAATGATCAGACTTCTTTTAGGTCAACTGAATCTTAGCCCCTGGGTCCTGTTTCTTAGAGGTGAGGGTGGTAGCTGTGACCCACTTCCCTCTCCCCCTGCATTTAGGGATTACAGCCTTTACTTTCATCACTTGTGTGGAATGAGCACTGGGTAGGGAGAGGAGCAGACATGTCTTGCTTTAGTGACTGTATAATTTTCTCATCTGTAATAGGATGGGTCCCACATGGGTTTTAGTAAACACTGTCTGAGTTGGTTGTTAATCAATATGATTGACTAGTAAAGTTGTTTTTCAGCTCATTGCACACTAATCTGATAAAGTTTAAGAGACCAAGGATGGATACTCTGAAGGGTGCCGGTGCTATCCCAGACACAGCCCAGATCACTGTCTCTAACAGGGTGTTGGTGTCAGGCCACTGAGTCTGTTGATGATTTGCTCATGTTGCAGGCTTCTCTGTATGCCTGGACTTTGGATTCGAATTGTTTTCTTGGCCTTTCAGGAGGTAGAACCTGTGCCTGATGGAAAGGAGCTGCTATTGAAGATGTTTATTGAGGAGACATGATGGATATGTACCTCAAAAGTCTTGAATGTGTTCAGACAGGGAGGCTGGTCTGAGTCCAACAGGCCCCTCTATCCTTGACTAGTCCCTCATCCTTTGTCTTCTCTTCACCAAGGCCTCAATACTGTTTTCCAGAGACTAGAAAGACTGTAAAGTTCCATCTGCTCAGAGCTGCCAGTCCCCTTCAAGTGCTTGTCTTAAAAGTCTCATGGCTAACTGGGCCAGCGGCACTGGGCTGTGTTTCTAGCTACTCGGGGAACTGACAGAAGGGTTATAGGTTATATGTCTAAGGTTATAGACTTAGGCTTTAGAGTGAGTTCAAAGCCAGCCCAGGCAACTTACAGAGGTTCTGCTTCAAAATTTAAATAAAGAAATTGTGAAAAGGGCTGGAAACATAGCTTAGTAGAAGACAGATAGCTTAGGATATACAAGGTTTTGGGTTAAAATTTCGATGCCATAGGAACCACAGGAAGAAAGGGAGGGAGGGAGGGAGAAAAGGGACTGAGGGAGGGATGAA